ACACAAATATAAAGAGAGAGAGGCTGGATGCAGAGTTCTTGGATGTATTGGATGTAGTATTCTTGAGGAGGTATAGGAGACGACGGAAGTGGAACAAGATGGAATCTGATGATATGCGTAAGACTAATAAATCAAAGCTGTGTGTCTGGCATAAACATTTAAGTCAAAATTTAAATGATCAGAATTACTCCTACAATATATAAATGTGTGTTTGTTTAAATGTTCATTTTATTTACACTAACATTCACATACGAAAGTGTAAGAGCTCAATGGGTGAATGCTAGTGTTCTCTCTGTCTGTCATACACTAACCTACTGACCGGACACTGGATTAGTCGTGCACTCCCTCAAAGTCAAAGAGAAGAGGATTGTGCCTTTAGTTGACCTGCATCGGAGACATTCAGTGGAAAAGGATATAATTAAGAGGTATTTTTGAAAGAGATATGTGATTCTAAGTTTTTTAGATGGGTTTAAGACCTAAATGTTTGAGAAAATGACCATACGGGCCATAGACCCTGAATAGTCATTGATTTAGTTGCAGTAGATGTCTAGAGATGGTGAGTTTAAACTTAGACAAGATGACAAATATGATACAAGAGTTGCATGTGACTTATAAATCTGGTTGGTTTAAATTGTATGGGTGCTGTGTGGTTTAAATGATTACTAAGCAATGACCATGAACAGCCAGGAGTATTCAGCACTTGACCTTTAATAAATAGAAAAACTTTACTTGTCAGTTATTAGATTCTGCTTTTTCAATTTAACAAAGACATAACCAAACACAAATATAAAGAGAGAGAGGCTGGATGCAGAGTTCTTGGATGTATTGGATGTAGTATTCTTGAGGAGGTATAGGAGACAACGGAAGTGGAACAAGATGGAATCTGATGATATGCGTAAGACTAATAAATCAAAGCTGTGTGTCTGGCATAAACATTTAAGTCAAAATTTAAATGATCAGAATTACTCCTACAATATATAAATGTGTGTTTGTTTAAATGTTCATTTTATTTACACTAACATTCAAATGTTTGGATCAATAAATATTGTGAAATAGTATTACAATTTAAAATAACTGTTTTCTATTTTAATATATTTTAAAATATATATTTATTTCTGTGATAGCAACGCTGAATTTTCAGCAGACATTAGTCTTCAGTGTCACATGATCCTTCAGAAATCATTCTAATATGCTGATTTGCATTTATTTTCATTTTCTTCTTTTATTTATTTATTTATTTCCTTTCAAGAGGGAAAATACAAACAGAGACTCGGACAAACATACTTTCTCAGAAAGAAAGAGAAAAAAAATACATACTGTACATATTAATGTTACAATTCTGAAATGGTGTCATTACAGAGTATGTATGTCCTCAATCTTGAAAACCAATTTCTCAAATGTTACATGTGAATTATATTTTCCTCCTCTTAACAGCAAGTCTATACAATAGAACACGAGGAGCTATTCCTTACAACTCATACAAAAGATTGCCTTAAAAAACGGTTGAAATTCAAGAAAAATCTGGGCGTACTGGTTTAATATATTCCATCCATTTATTCCAAATTAGAAAAAAATCTTCCATTCTTAATGAAAAAGATATATACATATATATTGTGTATTATATCAGTTCATTCCTCAATTGTGGGTGACTCTGGTTTTAACCATTTTTTAGTAATTACTTTTTTACTAGCTGCCAGAAGGATTAACAACAGTTTCTTATCCTTATTGTTCCACTCATCTAGGGCAAAATTACCCAAGTTTAGAGATTCTCAAGTAAAAGCAATCTCTTTCTTTAAAACAGCTTCCAAGTTCCTTTTAATCTCTTGCCAATACGGGGTAAGTTTTAGACATAACCAAAAAATATGATAATTTTTTCTTTGATGGTGTGATAAAGAACCTTATAACATTCTTCCAACAAAATTCTCTCCACATGGCTTGTAGCTTTCCATTGTGTTTTACAACTTTTCCTCAATCCTCATTCGAAATATTCAAATTTCCTTTCATTTTCCATTTGTCTCTAACATATAAAGTGTCTTCGGGTACAGTTTGAAGAAATCCATTATATAATTTTGAAATAATTTGATTACATGTTTGAACCTTGCATACTAATAAGAACACCTTTATTATTCCTGTCTCAGCAATTTTCAATATTTCTGGTTTAATATTACAATCAATATGCCTCACTTGAAGATATCTATAGAAGTCACTTTGATTAAGCCCATATTTTCCTTTCAGCGATTCAAAGCCCTTGTTAAAAAATGTGTAATAATTTGAAATTCCTAGCTTAGCCCAGATTCGGAATCGGTCATCTATTCTGTTTGGGACAAAATAAAGGCGCACCATCTTAATATTCTTGATGCATCTTCCAAACCACCAATTTTCTTTGTTTGATGCCAAATTTTAAATAATAAATTGATCCATGGGTTTGTTTCCTTAATCATTCTCATTCTTAGTTTGTTAACTGTCAGCAATAAGGGCTGCTAACGTGGACTCTTCCATCATTCCAAATCACTTTTATTTTCATTTTCAATGTTGTAAACAGTTGTGCTGCTTAATATTTTTGTTGAAACCATTTTTTTGCAACATATCTTTATTTATGATAAATGTATTGCCTCCTCCTTTCTTAATTTCTTTAAAAAAAAAGTTTGAACATTAATGTAAATGTAAGATTAAGATGACAGGAATGCAAAATTTGCTGCCATGGTGCTACTGGTTTTGGTTGTTGCTAATGTGTTCTGAGGTGTTTTAGTATATTGTTGTGCAGTTGCTAGAATATGAGTTATCTGTTACTATTATGAGTAATATGAGTTACAATATGAGTTGTCATTCATGTCTAGGACAAGTTAGTATAAGGTTTACATTCACCAAGTATAAGCAATAGTAATGGTGATTCTAGTGCAAACAGCACTAATAAAGGTTCCTGTTTCCCTGTCCACAAGGAGATTAGTGTTTCCTGCAGAACAGTTTGTTCTCGTTGTGTCTGTGAGTGTGGCCGAGTTGTCATGATAGACAGTACACAGCAGTTTCCATGGCTGCAGTTAACCCATTGTCTGTTAACATGATGAATAATTTACATAGTGGTAAACTAGCATACAAGTCTTTGTACCCATCAAGGTTTGAGAGGCTAGTGAGGTTAATTAAAAAGAATGTTAATAGGTGATTCATATCTGGTTAAACCTCTTCTAAAGACTCAAAACAAGTCCAGACAGATGCTGAGGCATAAGAGACATTTCCCTTGTGAACTTATCAGTGCTTTAAAAGAAGTAGTACTTTTCAACATTACACTCACAATACACTGTGAAGTATCAAATAATAGCCAAATAATGTTGTTTCTAGTTTAACTTTTTTTAATTCTACTTTTTTTAGTAATACACATTAACATCAAGTACTTAGACCTAATTAATCTGCACTTTAAATAGCTACCACGTGCTGTCATACTACTGTTTATATTTTCATACACAGTGTGCTGCACCGCTACTATTTATATCTTCATTGGCTGCTGTTTGTTTTGTATAAAGTATGTTGTGTCATCTTTCATACTGTGTACTATATACAAGTGACAGCAGTTTGTAGAATACACAATCATTTCACCTGGTGAACAGCAACAGCAGAAATTAAAGTAAGGTGTAATCAGACAATATAATTAAAAGAGGCATGAAGTAGATAAATATAATGACTTTTTTAAGAAAAAAAAACCTGAAGGCATATATGGCTTCAAATCTTGTGTATTTTACACGCAGCTTTTATGTTCTCATTTGATTTTATGTGCAATATTTTTTTAATTAATTTGTGACACTACAGGAATATTAAAGTGAACTGCAAAAAGGGTAAAATGTTTTAAAAACCTTTTCTGTTTTGACTTGCCATACACACACACACACACACATACATCCTTTACTTCATACTATACTAAGATTTTATGTTAATAAACATTCATCAATCATTATGAATCTGTAAAGTTTTATAAAAATTTCTACAACTATACCAGAGTGTGTATTCCTGTTTTGTGATATATGTGTGTGTGTGTGTGTGTGCGCAGTGTGTCAGATGGAGCAGCAGTAGTGGCAGCAGCAGACTCTTCAGTACTCTGGCCCAGACTCTGAGCAGTGCTGCGCTGGAAGACTCACATGTGGATTCTGACGACTACGAGTATGAGCAGGCTGACCCGGACGCTCTGTTGCGTGAATGCGAGGCGGTTTTGAAGAACCGGCCTCCTCGGATGCACCGAGACTTTGTTATGACCAGAGCCTGCTCACTGCAGAACACACCCATCCGCATCATGCAGTGGAACATCTTAGCGCAAGGTACAGAGTCTGTCTGCTTATGTCAAGTATTTGATTCATAGTTGATTCACAGGAGGTAACTGAAATCAGAGGTGTTATGCTTTTTAATGCCACCAGCTTCCTAAAAGGCAGCTATATATTTGCATGTGTAAAGACTCATTTATACTGTGTGAGAAATATGTGTAAAAAAAAGTAAATAATATGCTTTTATATTGCCACTGTACTAAAGCCAAAACAAATTATTAAAATATTATCTGAAAATATTGTAAAAAAACAAAAAAACTTTTCTCAAAAAGCATTAAATACATGCTATATATAGCTTTTGAAATTTTGATTTGGGTGACCATACATGCCATTTTTCCCGGACACATCCTGTCCAAGATTTCTATATTGCCTAAAATATCCAGGTTTTGGCTTTGTTTTGCGCTGCACAGACCGATCGGGGTATGACATCAAAGTAATATAGGGAATATAGAAATCCTGGCCAGGATGTGTCCCGGAGAAATAGCACCTATGGTCACCCTAATTTTGATATATTTTCAAATGTAATTTATTCCTGTGATGGCGAAGCTGAATTTTCAACCGCCATTACTCCAGTCTTCAGTGTCACATGATCCTTCATAAATCATTCTAATATGCTGATTTTCTGCTCAACAAACAATTTCTATTATTGTCAGTGTTGAAAACAGTTGTGCTGCTTTATATTTTTGTGATACATTTCAGAACAGGCCAGTGTTAAGAATGTCAATGTGTCACCATAATGGACTTTTTGTTGAGTTTCTCTGTTTCTGTTCTCCTGCCCTGTTTAGTTCCTGTCTCCATAGTTTCTGTTCTTGTCATTAGTTGCCTTGGTTACCTAGTAGTTTCAGGTGTGTCTTGTTAATTTAACCATTATATATACTCCCTGTGTTGTTCAGTTTTCTGCCAGCTATTCGGCGTTCTATTGTTGTGCTATCTTGCGCTAGTGATATTTCTGTTGCGTCCTCGTGAATTTATATTAAAATACTTATTTTGGATATCCCTTCTTTGTCATGCACTTTATAATCAGCACACACGTGACAAGTCTGTTTAGAATGAAAGTCAAATTCTGTAATTATTTGTAAAATTATTGTTTTAAACATATCTCATTCATATTTGAAGCTAATCAATTGTGTTAGGCTCTACATTTTAATTTTTTCAAAATGTATCTTTTGACACCATAATGCTACTATATTGTGCTCAGTACGTGATGTAAACATTCTTAATTTTTCTTGTGTATCTGCAGCTCTGGGCGAAGGCAAGGATGGTTTTGTGCGCTGCCCGATGGAGGCGTTGAACTGGTCAGAGAGGAAGTATCTTATACTGGAAGAGATCCTTACCTACAGGCCAGATGTGCTGTGTCTACAGGAGGTGGACCACTACTTTGACACCTTCCGGCCTGTGCTCGCCAGCTTAGGCTACCAGAGCAGCTTCTGCCCCAAGCCATGCTCCCCCTGCCTGGATGTTCACAATAACAATGGCCCCGATGGCTGCGCTCTGTTTTTCAACCGACGTCGCTTCCAGCTGCTCCACACCGCTCACCTCAGACTCTCTGTCATGATGCTCAAAACCAACCAGGTGGCCGTCGTGGCTACGCTTCGCTGCAGGCTCACAGGTCAAGTCTTCTGCGTGGCAGTAACTCACCTGAAAGCACGGAGCGGCTGGGAGGCGTTTCGTAGTGCACAGGGGGCTCATCTCCTCCAGCAGCTCTGCGACCTAACCACACAGTCGCACCCGGAGATGGATGATGAAAACAGGACTAGGGTTGGGGAAAGCGAAGAGGGTATTCCGTTGGTGGTATGTGGGGATTTTAATGCGGAACCAAGTGAGGAAGTGTACAGGTGCTTTATGACTTCTCCACTGGGGCTAGACAGCGCTTATAAGTGTCTGAGTGAGGACAGGAACACAGAGCCGCCCTACACCAGCTGGAAGATCCGGCCAAGCGGAGAGAGCCGCTCCACGTTAGACTACATTTGGTACTCGGAAAGAGCGTTCCAGGTGGACACTGTGCTGAGGATACCGAACGAAGAGCAGATCGGGCCGGACCGGCTTCCGTCATATCATTATCCTTCTGATCATTTGTCACTGGTGTGTGATTTAAGCTTTAGTCAGCAGCCTCATAGGCTCATGTAGCTGTCAATCATTAGTGCTCATGGCTTTCATCTCCAATATGGATCCAGAATAGTTTAGGAAATTCCTAGTGCATGTGTGTGTGTGTGTGTGTGTGTGTGTGTGTGTGTGTGTGTGTGTGTGTGTGTGTGTGTGTGTGTGTGTGTGTGTGTGTGTCTGAATGTGAGAATGCATTATTGCAAAGAATGTAACTTATCTTATTCACACAAACCTTATTTTTACTTGCTGATGTAGGTCTTAATGCACCTCTGTGCTTACTATCCTTGAAGGAGATTAACTATTATTATACTCTTATTGTTTAAGCAGAGGTTGTGCAATATATTGTAATTTATTAAGTGCTAAAGGATGATCTCAGGAAGATGCACATTATGGATTAAAAGGTTCCACAAGTGGAAAGATGTTTATATTTATAGTGACTGTACTTTTTTCTTTTAGTAACACTGTTTTCCACTGACCAGTAATCCAAATACATCACAGTGTATTTAAATTGTGTGATCTCTCTCTTTAATGACAAGCAAAAGTGGACTGGTTTGAAAAAAAAATCTGCTTTTGATTTCAACTATAAGAATGTATTGGGCTTGTTTCATATTTGCTTACAGGGTAAAGAGTAGAAAAACATGAATTCGATTTCAATCGAAACATCGAGGTTCACGAAACAATGTTTTCCAGTTATTTTCCTATAAATAGCCCATGTCCATCATTTTAGCTTATCTGATATCAACGGCAATCGTTTTATCTTATGTCAGCGTTGCCTAACCTTTATAACGTTATATTTAGAAAAAAAAAATGTTTTCGCAAGTCTAAATAGAGGCTCATAAGCTACTTGCTCATAAGACATATTTTTCCTGATATCCATCTTTCTTTCATTATTGGGAGTTTTGATGTTAGTGACATTCGCACAATCATCTGTAACCATGGTGCGCCTCAAGCCATCAGGTTCATCCGCACAGGCTAGCCGAGTCGAAGCACAACTCACCTAATTACCAGAATATCGTTCCGCCGCACGTAACCTGTAGTTTTATGCTTAACCCGCTGGAGGACCAAAAGTAACATTGTAATTTTTTTCTACATCACCTTGATCATTTATTTTGTTAACAAATTCTTCTTGCAGCCTTCTAAATCCATCCTTTAATGGTGAAATATTTTATGATCTGGACGCAAAGACTGTCATCCTTCAAAGCCAATCTATTCTGGTCCGGATCCCTCTGAGCCAATTAGCAGAAATACAGATTTTTAAGGCTTTGTTTAAAGTTACCAACATAGTAAAGAGCTCTGCAGTAATCCTAGTACATCCCACAGAGACTAATAAAGTCTCTACAGTAGAAGATCTAATATCAAACTGTATGTGTAGGGAAAGTTTGTGCAGGAATGTAGATTCTTTGGGTTGAGAAATAAGGTTTCTGGACAGAAATTGAACAAATTACTAAAATCAAACTTCATACCATGAAGACAGGTTTCCCACACTTAGACCAATAAACCTCCATGATCTTTCCATGTGTCATTGTAATGACTGGATAAAGGTTTTTAAAATCTTTCGATCAAGATCACATTTTCATGATTTCATTTCTAGTAAAAAACAACAACTTAGAACCAGTTGTTTGCATATTTCTCTATATTTAAATCTACTTGGATACATTTTAAGGGTAAGAATACAACAAAATATATGCTTCATATATTGAATATTCAATATACTGTATAAGACATTCTTTCCCTTTTTTGTACATGTGAAAAAAAAATTCTGCAAAATACAAAGCAGTGAATGCATGATACAGAAAACATACAGTGATAAATGCACAGAAAGAAATTTGTTTAAAAAGTGTGAAATGACAGGAAAAAACATTTGTCCTTCAGAAAACAGTTTCCTTTAAACTGTAAAAAAAACGCCTCATATTTACACAATAAACGTAATCAATTACTTTAAGTAATGATTTATGAGAAAAAAAGCTGACCTAAGGCTGCTTGTTTTATTATCAATAACTACCGCAATGGTATGTCTATGCACAGATTCTTTTATGCTCCAAATTACCAGGTGATCAAAATCTTGGCTGTTTCTCTTCACCCATATGACTTCGTCTCGGTCTTTAGCACCAAGTGAGGTTTGTTCCTACAGCATCACAGCACAGATAGTATACTATAACAAAGCGTGATTTGTATAGATAAATTTAAGAAATAAAAGGAGGAAAAAAGGCCATCTGACGTCTAATCCAGACTCAGGCTAGACACAGTGGTTATAGTGTTGGACGTCAACAGGCACCTGAGCTGTAGTGCTGGTTTCATCCGTTTCACATAGACAGCCACTCTTCACATCACTTGTTTTATGTGTATCTGTGTCACAAGCATTTATGTTGGTTCCTGTGAGTGAATGCAGTGACGTTTGATGTATGCTCAGCTCTGTGTGGTCGTGGGGTTTGTGTGTGTGTTCTCTGCAGCCCTGTTAACTGTCTGATCCACAGACACCTCAGCAGATTCAACCTTAATAATAGTCACATCCTGTAAAGACGTCGCTGGCTGTACGTTCGGCACCACTGTCACTCCCGGTTGCGAGGTCACCACAGTTACAGGAGCTGTGGAGGCAGTGGTGGTGATGCTGGAGGTGACGGCGAGCTTCAGGACTTGGGCGTTGCTGGTAGACACGGTGACAGGGGAGAGTGTACTCAGAGTGATGGGAGTGCCGGGTTTGCCAGGCATGGTGGGAAGGGTGATGAGCTGCAAGGTAATTCTCTCACCGCTTTGACCCTGAGCAGGCACTAGCGTTGGCACGGCATGGAGAACCACTTTGCCTGCGCTGTTACCCCCAGTGACTGAGTTGGGCACAGGGAAGATGGGCGAGCGGATGGTGGGAGAATTGACAGTTACTGTGGAGATTTTCTGACCCTGTGTTGTCATGAGTACAGGAACCTGCATGGCAAGCCTCACTGTCCTGGAAACAACCAAAAAGCACTGTGATACGTGCAACTGTTAGCGGTAAACTTTTAAACACTATAGGGCCATATGAAATAAGCAATTAGCGATTAACAAAAAGACATTTTGATATAATACCCAGGGGCTGTTGCCATGTTGTCTGGCGACTGTTGCACGGTAATAAAGGCATCTTGTCCTGAGGTTAGATTGATGATTTTAGGTACAGCAGAAGAGGGAGAGACCAGCGTCCCTTTGCCTTTTGGATTGCTGCGACTGGATGCAGCTGGGCATTCTCTCTTTCCTTCATCAATGCTGTCATCCATATTGTCATCATCTATGAAAACAATGTCTTTGGGCATCTCCTTAAACTGATACACAAGTCTTTGGCCTTCCACTTTTGATAAAATGCCCCTTTGATAGTAATACCTACAATAAATAAATATATAAAATAAAGAAGGAAAAAAAAAAAAGATCAATCAAGATTGCTAGCACATTTTCTAGTTTCCAAAAAATGTAATATTGTTTTTTTTAAACAACAGACATTACCTGAGTGCCCTCCCCATTGTCTCATAGTTCATGTCAGGTTTATTCTTATGTCTGCCCCATAATTTAGACACCGCTTTGGAGTCCACAAGCTTGAATATGCCCTTCTCTTTCTGAGTCCACTTAATGTACTTTGGACAGGTTTCCTTGTCCTGCAGAAGGTCCAATAGGAACTCCCACAGGTAAGTAGTTGAGCCTGTAAGAGACAGACTTGAAATTTGTGGCACCAGAAAATAGAATTCTCTTTCACAAAAAAACAGAAACACTCACCCTTGCTGTCTTTTGATTTCCTCTTATAGACCATATCCAGAGAACCATCACAGAAACTCCGTGGAGTTCTGGGTTTTCGTCCTGCTGGGGAAGATCACAGCAAACAAATGAATCTCTTCTAGAAAATTACAGTTTTTGAACTATGCTATGTAGACTTTTATATTTACTATGCTATGTTGACTTTTGTATTTACAATGTATTATAATATGAAGCAAAAATCATGCATTCATTTCCAAACATATCTGTAGTTCATGGTCTTGGGTAATAGGAAGTGTGGTTCACCTCTCTTTTTCTTCTTCAGTAAATCGGTCTCCTGCAGGACAACAATATCCTTGGCGACGGGTCCCATATCCTCGGTTCTCACTTCCACCTCCACCTCAGATAAAAGCTCCTCTGCCGAGATCGAGATTTACTGTTCATTTTACTCTTCATACATGTTTGATATACAGAGCAAGTAGTAGTAATTTAAGTTAGGACAGTGCAAACGGCCTGTATTGCAGCATGCAGTACATGGGTAGATGTAAATCACACCTGTGCTGCGATCCCCCTGCAAGCTGGCTGGTGAATCCATGTGCAGCAGAGCTTCAGCTGCTTCAATAGTTTTATCATGCACAGAGACCTCCACTAAGAAAGAGAAAAAAAAAGAACTTTTCTTGCACAATAAAAAAAGGAACAAATATAATCATTTAAATACACTGTTCTAAAGCAAGAAATCCTTTTGCTATTTGTTTAAGACTAATGTGAAAACAGATGTTACAGGACCAAAAACTGATATAGAAGATTTAAAATTGAGCTTGCTTTTGATTAAAAGAGCATTCTGCATTCACAAACATTTTCCTGTACATAAACTAATAAATTGGCGGTAAAGAAAAATATATTTCTATTTCGATGTGTTTATTGGCTACACTGCAGCTTACGAAACAATACTAAGCGCTCATTGGCCAGGAGTCCTGTCACTCAACGCATATTAGTACACTTCCGCCCTAAACTTCGAAAACGAAAAGCGTATTTTTAATCATATATTTGATATATTGCCCCAAGCGAAAGTGCTTGAATAGTCACAGAAAACATCGAAACCTTATTTGTTTATAAAACCACATGTTCCCTACGTTTTCAGCAACAATCTCGAGTAAGTCTCATAAAACCAAAAGCTGTCAATTCAAATTTCGTGCATGACGCTTTTAATGTAAAAAAGCAATCCCGCACCCGCTATCCCTCAAAATATACCGCAACAAATTAGTCATTCATTATCGTCTTCGTTAATCTATAAAAGACATCAATAAAGAGCAGAACCGTTAGCTGATTTAAACAAACAATCAAAGCCAACAAAAATGACACGGCTGCTACAAAACATTTAAAGCTTCAGGCTCTACCACGAAACCCTGTTAAACAGTAGACCCCGTTATAAACACTATAACACACAGCGTGGCTAAGACTCAAGAAGAAAACAAACACACTTCCTGGTTCCGACAGTCAGCATCAATCCGCTAAGAATTCATCACGACCGACTGTCAACGAACAATTTTAAATACACACAACACCTATGGCAAATATTACTCTACAAACAGAGATTAAAAGTCGCGCTAAAACAAAATAGCAAGAAATGACTTAGTATTACTTAAACTTGGCGCACGGGTTAAAACGATAGCTCTTCTTCACTTCCTGGTTGTCAAGCGCTGTTGCATCCTTCACTTCAGCGGGAGCTCATTACCTCAAATCACGTGACACGCTTCTGTGATGAGTGAAGGTTTTTTTATTTAATGTTTAGTAGCTTTGCTGGGAAAATCGAACTGGTGTTGAGATGCATTTAAACGGAGTAGTCATCCCAGCTGCTTGCGGTTTATAAACGATCAATTATCTCCTCGCCAATATTATACCAATATTTCTCTGCCTTTGGTTACAATGAAGACAATGCAACTATACATAAGCCTCTTTTCTGCGTTTTAAAAAGGTACATACAATTCTGAGCAGTCAATGTTGTATTGTGCATCTCTGAGCACAGAGAACAAACAAAAGTATTACAAAACCATTGGTTTCATCCAGATTAAAGTTTGTATAGCTTATTTTCCCTTTTTCCAAGTGTTTCAAGTGTACTAATCCTACAAATTATAAGCTTTGTTTTTCTAATTTGTATCTTTTATTACTTCCACAAAAACGCCACAAGATGTCCCTCTTTAGCTGTTCCTGCTGTTAAAGGGGTCCTATTATGCTTTTTCACATCTTCAACTTTAGTTAGTCTGTAATGTTGCTGTTTGAGCATAAAAAAGATCTGCAAAGTTACAAAGCTCAACGTCCACTTCAATAAGGAGATATTTTATTTAACAGAAATCACTTTTCAAAAACTACAATGAACGACTCGTTTGGACTACAACGCATATTTTCTGGGATTTGTGATATCACAAATATTGACGAATGGGACGAGACCTGGTTGAGCTGCACTAGAGAAGGCAACGAGTGTTATCACTATGTCGGAGACACGCTAGCTTTCCCAAGGCAGACGAACTTAGATTGGTTACAATCATCCGGGTTTAAATCACGCTCAAATTGATTTGATTTTGACGCAATATTTACACTGAAGCTCGCAGGCAGCCCACACTGGCCCAGCTAACCAATCACAGCACATTTCGCATTTCAGAAGGCGAGCCTTCATTTGATACAGGAACTATTCGAGCCGTTCAGGCCAGACTGGGGAGAGAGGTGGTGTAATAATGTAAAATATGTAAAAAATAATGTGTTTTTCGAACAACCTAGTATGAGAGCCTGTTCTAGTACACCCCCAAAACAAAATCAAGACTTTGTAAAAGAGCACAATAGGACCCCTTTAAAAGAAAAAAAACCAGGGCATATTTGGAAATCATGTTTGGTGGTAAACATGTCAGTCAATGCAATCAAGCTTTTCAAAATTAGGTGTATTGTTTAGTCACACACACACTCACAAAAAGCAAGTGCCACAAGTTGACCTCACTGATTGCACTTTCAAGCAAATGCATAATACAACATTTTCCTTGCATGGAAATACAGCCCCCTGACAATTGTGAGAATTATTGCTTACCTGCTTCCATCTCCTGCAACTCAGTCTCCACAACTTGTTCCTCAGCCACATCCTGCACCAGGTAGGTATTCTGATCATCATAGACTAACACCTGAGCAGCATAACACTGCTCCACATCAGCGCTATTCACCTGCTCCACTATCACTGCAGGGCAGTCCTTCTCTCCATCGGCCTCCACCCCATCAGGACAAAACTCCTGGCAAAACAAACAAACATTTTGAGTTTCCTTAAAATGTAGATTTGAGTTCAGTTGCAATTCTAATACGAGTGTGTACATTTTGTACAAGTGCAGACTTCACCTGCTGAGCTTCCTCATCTCCAGCGACATACTCCAATATATTCCCTCCACCATCTACAATCACCACAGAGGTCATGACTCATTCCTCTGTGTCAGACCCGCACTTATCCACTTCGCCCCTGCTGATGACCTTGAGTGATGTCACAGCCTGAGAAATGAAAAAAAGCCATTGGTAAATGCAGTGTGGAACACATTGTGCTCATCTCTGAAAATATTCATAACTTAAAACCATACCCCTCAACACACTGTTCAGATAAACCATTGTAAGTTAATTATAATATTTTAGAATTACAATCAACAAATCTCCCAAAGGCATGTGAACTAAATCATGTGACTAATTAGGCCAAGTGGGTACTGATATCATCTGATGCCTTTTCAGTTGGCATGGAAATAATCGAATATTCTTACAAAAATCACAAGCAGTCCTTCAGGCAAAAACAAATGCTTACACACGCAGAAACAAAACAAGAAAACGGAAGAGGCCTGTATCCTGTTGGCAAATGTGATCGCAGCCCAATCATATTCACTGTTTTATTATTTTCTCAATACAAACCCCCCTAAGGGTTGTGCCTATTTCATGCCCCATCTTTGCATATATTTTTCTCTACTGTGTTGCCCTTTATCACAGTTTTCCATCAAGTATAACAAAATGTAAACACTGACACCAGACTGATAGACTAGGAGTCTGTTATTATTGACATTCAAATAGCGCCACCATTCTACTGCAATAACATTGAATCAACTTATTATTTGAACAAGGAGTGAACAGATTTTTAACAACAACCATGCAAAGAAAGCAAATCACAAACAAATGATTAACTTTTACAAAAATTGTATCGGACACAAATGATTAGATCGATAAACAAACGTCTGCTGTATAAACAGCCGCTCTAAAACAAACCACATACCTTCTAATTATATCTAAATGAATTAACTTTAACCTCTAATGTACGTATACATGGAAAAATAGGATATTTCTCACCGTTTGTGGCGATTTCTTGTCGCTTGGTGCACCTCAAGACAGTCTAGTGCACTCTGTCATAAGGTTAGCATGCTAACCATGCTAATGACAGATTGACTGGTTGACGATAAAGCTGCTCAACTTGCGTAAACTGCTCGCTGACAAAAAGCACGCATGCAGGCGACACACAGATGCCTATTTGGTCAATGTAAAATATAAAAAGAAATGAGTTTTGGCAGGCTGTGTTGGTGTAGTAGGTAATGTTTTGCGTCGCTGGTTTCGGGCCTCCCGTGTTGCAGGATCCGATCAACGAACTGCGCAGCGACCCTGCGCGTGCTAAAATTTCAGCAAGCTCAATTTAAAAACACAAACAAAAATAATAGGATAGTGATCATGACATAAACTATTTATAATACTATCACAATAAATAATATCATAATAATATGTTTAAATTAGCAAATGTTTCTGAGGGAGGTTGCTGGCAGATGTAATATAGACAATGAAGTACAGACATGTTATGCCTTGCTATATTTCAGATATACAGTAATATAATTGAAATGGCAAGCTGTACAGTCGTAACCTCAAATTTAAAATCTTTATTACTATGCTGAAGAATTTACCAAAATATAACCATTTCCAAATCCAATCTTGCAACTTATTAACAGAGAAATCTGCACCTAATAGGGGGAGTCGTGGCCTAATGGTTAGAGAGTCGGACTCATAACCCAAAGGTTGTGGGTTCGAGTCTCGTGCCGGCAGGGATTGTTGGTGGGGGGAGTGAATGTACAGCGCTCTCTCCCACCTTCAATACCACGACTGAGGTGCCCTTGAGCAAGGCACTGAACCCCCAACTGCTCCCCGGGCGCCGCAGCAAAAATGGCTGCCCACTGCTCCGGGTGTGTGTTCACGGTTTGTGTGTGTTCACTGCTGTGTGTGTGCACTTTGGATGGGTAAATGCAGAGCACTAATTCTGAGTATGGGTCACCATACTTGGCCACATGTCACGTCACTTTAAGACTTTTTTTTCACTAATAATCACATAGAAAGACTCTTCAACTTAGTCAAACACAACCACACACAGGGGCGGACTTACCCATTTGTCAAAGGTCGGTGACCGCCTTGGGCCCCCAAAAGCCAAGGGCCCCATAAAATGCTTTTCATACACAAGATGCGCATTAAACGTTGAACGTGCTTCTTTTGTATCCTGCTTGTAGCAAATGAAAATATGCATCTGAAGCTGTAATTAAATATTGAGCAACAGTGCGTAGGCTATTATATGTTTATTGTTTTAAATGCAGCTTACTCATTTATGAGCAGGACCCAAGTGGAGGACGCATACGCAGTTACTTTTTTGGTTTATATAATTTGGTTTAATTTCCTTTTCATTACTTTTTTCTTCAGTTTCATTTTCAATAATCCAGTCTGCAGTTTTTGTTCAGACCAATCCACCACATAACCCCATTTTAAATTAATATAATTTATACTTCTGACTCATCCCTTTTCTTAAAAAAAAAAGTGGTTTAAAGGCCCAATTGTGAGGTTTATCTCAACTGTAAATCAATTGCTATTTCATTAAAGAAAGCCATCATAACATGTGCACGAAAAATGTAGATACACTGGATACAACTATGGGGCACCATTGTGCACCAGCAAACATCACAACAAAAAAGGAACCTCAAGGTTTATCTAAGTAAATGTGTGCAAATGTATAGGGCCCCCATTCCTAGATTTTGCCTGGGGCCCCCAATTCACTAAATCTGCCCCGATCACACAGAAATGTTTTTCAACTCTTTATTTTTCTTTGACATACATTCACAGTTAAAAAACCCTAGTTAGGGCCTACAGTGAAAGGTGAAATTTCAAAAGAGCAAATGAATGTGTATTACATCCTTAACCCTTAAAACAAAAACAAAAAAGAACTCGTGAACACCCTTTATACTGAACTATACTTCAAATTATTCCCTCACATTCACATTATAAAACTGTAGTATCAAAGAAAGTGTAACTTTGTCATAATAGGTTTGGGGACCTTGTTTTTGCCACATCAAGCAAAGTAATTTATTTACGCACCAGCCAAACAACATTTTTTATAATCACAGGAAACTTCACTGGTTTGATGATTGTGACCAACTCCGATGGATCAACAGAACAAACTAAGAGAGAACAGGAAAACAAAGGCAAAGGATGCAGCAGTGGGGTTTGCCTTTTAGATAATATTGTAATGTCAGCCTTTAAAAATTAATACTGGAATGTGACTTGTAACATGGCTTATTGTTGTATTGATTTTATTGATACAAGTAATCTGTTTGTCAGTTGCTTTTTGACCTAGTCATGTCACATTGGTAATGTTAGTTGGTTATTATAATACTGGTTACTGGAAAAAAGAGAACACTGTCTTTTCAAGCTGAGGTAGAGAGGTACAAATAGTGTTAATTCATAAATAATGCAAATGAAAAATAGCATATATTGAAGATAGAGGATAAACTGATGTCTAACCAAAAAACTGGAGGTCAGCATGCAGATATGAGTGTTTGTAGCAAATCTTTAGCCCTGCTGGTATTGTAATTATTGACATGGCAATTCCAAGACATGTCCTACTATGACAATGTGATGTTTGAGGTAGGGTTCACTATAGTATAGGCTCCAATGTGCAGTTGACTCAAAAAGAGTGGAGTTCCATTTTAAAAGGGTATAAAGATAGGTCACAGCTTTTCATGCATATTATAATGGTCAAGAAACTTGTATGTCTCACATCAGAGTGAAGTGAAAGTTCACATGAAGTACCCACTCTCCAGTGGACAGCATGTACGTGGAAAGAGAGCTGTATTTTTAGCGGAGTCAGAAGGAAACAGCATTCTGGGCCCAGTGTAAGGATTACTGAAATCCAAGGGGTCAAGGAAATAGGGAAAGGGGAAGGCACATCACTAATTCTTTATCAGGGAACCGGTTTACTATCCCAGAAGATCTGACTGCTCCCAACTGAGAAAAAGACAAAACAAGAATGAAAACCTCATGTCAATGTACAGTACCTTTCAAAGATTTGGGGTCAGTAAGAGTTCTTAATGTTTTTGAAAGAAGTCTTTTGTGCTCATAAAGGCTGCATTTATTTGATTTGAGAATACAGTAAAAATGTATATTGTGAAATATTATTAATATATTTTAATATCCATGTATTATACAATAGACTATAATAGAAAGGTTTACATTTCCAAACATTAAATTTGATAAAAATATCAAATTACAATTATAAAATATATTATGTACGATATTATTAAAAATAAACAAAACAAGCATAAAAAACTTGATTTTCACAATGTTACCTTTTTTAGTTGGTGCTAATACATCTGCACTTTAAGCATACGGCGCTTGCCCTATGAACAACATTAAAAAGTAACATTTAGATCATAAAAAGGATGTTACAAGGTATATCAAGAACTTACATCAGAATACATACGTCTTTGTCTTAATATATCTTTCCATCCTCTCACTAATTCACTATTCAACTCATTTCAAGTATTTGTCAAGTAATGTTTCTGTTAAACCATTTTTGCTCCCATCATTGTTTACTTAACTAGTTAACCCAGCACTGCATTGTTAAACCAGATTACCCGTTACCTGTCCCAATGGCTCTTCACCGTCATCAGGGGCAGAGATGATCTTGCCAGTCATGGGGGACACACCGAGCACCATAGGCTTCTTTTCTGTTTTGGGAACTCCCTCCAAGATAACCACTATGTAGTCTCGTTTGGGCTCTTCCAAAGAATCAGGCGCACTTGATGTTTCAGCTGGAGCAACTTCCTCGGCTACCACTGTGCTGGCAACATCTGGTTCAACAACACTTTCTGTAACTTCCACAAATGGACCTGCTTCTTCATCAACTATACTTACTGAAGCCTCCACAACTGCACTTTCTGCAATCACCTCTGCTGCCTTCACTTCCACACCTTCCTCAACCACTGGAATAACCTCTTCTGTTACTTTGGCTGCAGCTGTTTCCTCAAGTTCTTCAGTTGCTACAAACGGTGCATCTTCAGCCACAGCAACAGGAGCTTCTTCAGTTACCAAGGAAACTGCTGCCTCTTCTGGCACAGGGGCAACAGGCATCTCTTCAGTCACTAGGGCAACTGATACCTCCTCTTCTTTTGGACCAACAGGTGCCTCTTCTGTTACAGAGGAAACTGGTGTCTCTTCTGTCACTGGGACGACCAATATTTCCTGTTCTATCACCAGGACATCAGATGCTTCTTCTGCCGATACTGGTGAATCAAATGGTGTCTCCTCTACTACTGGAGCCTCTTCTACCACTGTGGCAACAGGTGGCTCTTCTACGTCTGGGGAAATTGGTGCTGCTTCTGTCACTGGAGAAACAAATACTTCTGCTGATGGTGAATCAAATGGTGTCTCCTCTACTACTGGAGCCTCTTCTACCACTGTGGCAATAGGTGGCTCTTCTACGTCTGGGGAAATCGGTGCTGCTTCTGTCACTGGAGCAACAAATACTTCTGCTGATGGTGAATCAAATGGTGTCTCCTCTACTACTGGAGCCTCTTCTACCACTGTGGCAACAGGTGGCTCTTCTACAACTGGAGAAACAGGTGCCACCTCCGTTACAGGTTCACTTTCCAAATGATCTGTTGTAGGAACCTCAGTGAGCTTCTCTGGTACAGCTTCAACTGGCACATCTTCCACGGATACCGACACCATAGGAACAGCCGCCTCGATCACGGAGGCAGCAGCCAGCTCTGTGGTTTCTGCTGGGCTGACTGATTCTGCAAGACACAATCAAGCCACCCAATAATCACATACACACACACATACACACACGATATCTGAGAGGTATCAAATGACTTATTTAGAGGTTTTATGTGTGTGTTTGTGTGTGTGTGATTGTAGTTTAAATCAGAAGATTAATCTAGACACAGATACAATGGGAAAGAGAGAAATGCGACTACCAAAAGTATATCCCCACTATATTAGTGATAGTTATAACAACAAAGAAACAAGCTTAAGCAGCTGAAGTAAAGTTATTGCCTTCAGGTATGATCTATGATGTGTATCTTTGCATTTCACAGAATGTAAGAGATTTTCAGCGAGTATAATCATGCATGTTCACAGCATGCAGCTCCATTTAGGGGTTTCCCCATCATTCAGAACATACACGGAGAGGCTTTACTGCCAAATATCACCTAGAAAGGGACACACCACAAGAATAACTACCACAAAAACCTTTACCACAAGAATACAGATGACCTTTACACTAAACTCAGCATTTTAAAACATTACTTTTAAAAACAGAGGATGAACTTGTCGGTGTTTATGATGCAATATTTCAGTTTGTTGTGTTTTCTGAAAAAAAAAAAAAAATTAAACACAGAATATCTTTTTGATATTTATCCATTTCATTTTATTAAATGGCTTTGAATCCCTTATCCATTTTTAATACATGACTGCATTTTTCAAGTAAATGAGCAATTTCATTAATCACACACACTTGACTTCTTGGTAAGTTATTGAGATCCCTGTCAGTTCAGTCATACAGATGAGTAGAAAGGGAAAACTAATACAGAAATAAAGCTGGACTAGTTGCTAGGGAGCAAAACTCTCACAGTTTTCACAATATTAATAGGCGTGTACCAACTAAGTGATATCTGGCAGAGAAATACGTTTTGACAAATCCAAAATTGAATAACTGAACTACTACTGTTATTATAAAACAACAAAACTACATACAGCAGTGCATTTGCTTTTTGGTGTCTTTGCGTTCACTTGTGCCTCAAATAGGAAGGCAGAATAGAGGTTAAAAATGACAGGAGGCTGGCTCAGAGTTGTTAGAAGATCGAGAGTGAGAGTGAAGCTAAGAGAAAGAAATTAGGAGAACAGGAGTAGATGGTCTGAAGTGTGTCCATTGGAATGTTTGGTCACGTGTAACAAAAAGCAGCAACTTTGGATTCTCACAGTGGTTTCTACAGTTATCAATATTTGAAAAAATTATAATTTATATTATATTCAAGTTATACATTTATTTATATAATTTTCAAATATTTCCAGCAGAATCCAGGAATACAGCAAAAATACACAATAAGCTGTGTGCTATAAAGTGGGATGACATTATTGCAACGCAAGCATCAAATTCTGTAGTATAACATCGATGCAACCAGAGGAAGTACAGTATGATGAGGACTATACAGTTAATCACATACACTATAATTTAGTTCATGCGTCTCTGAGCACCTTAAAACTTCAGTTTATGACTAAAGAATCTACTTGTAAGGGAGGAAAAATGAGGATAGATAGAGAGACCTGCAGGATTCAAGCAATAAAATCTCTCTAAATTTTGTTCAGGTGCCAATTTTTGTTCTTCTTAGGATGTAAGGTTAACATGTTCAGATAAAGTGAGACCGTGACCATTTTGCTAAACAGAACATTTGAGTCTTCTATATCTTGTGTGTGTGGGTGAGTGTTTGAGTACCAATGAGCCATTTAGGACTCTGTACCAGTGGCCTCTGCTACTGCCTCATCTTGGGAGGCTGGTGGCGTACCGTTGCTCTCTGACGCCGGCTCTTCAGCTTGGATAACAGGAGTTACGACAGCCTCTGCTGCTGCTTCTACTTCCTCTGCTACCTTCTGCACTTCCTCTGCCACCGCTGCCACCTCCTCTGCTGTCTCAGCAACAACCCCCGCCACCTCAGCAACCACCTCTGCAGTCTCTGCGACCGTCTCGGCAACCTTTTCCACAACGGTCTCAAGAGTTCCTGTCTTCCCTCCAGTGGCCTCGGCTGTTTCCAGCAATACCTCAGGTGCCTCAGCAGGAACATCCTCCTCGGCTGTGCTCTCTACAGTTTCTGCCACCTCACCTTCCTCTGCACCAGCTTCTTCTAAACAGACAATAGAGAAGAAAGAATAATAAGGCATCACGCTACGTTTTCATTTTTACTCACTTCTGAATCTCACATAAAAATGACTGGGTTGAAATTATATGAAATTATATTTTGCCTTAAGAAAATGAAACCCATTTTAGGACAATAAGAATTTTTTTAAAGCACATTTTTTTTAAACGCATATTTTGCGATCAAAAAAAAAATTTATATTAAAAATAACAATCAGTATGCTGCAGTAATTCAAATCATCCTGTCATAAATTAACTTCAAATAATACTACCATGATGTTTTTACAAATTAGAGAATCAGAGAATTTTTCTCATAATTTATTATTATTTATATAATAAAAATAATTATTACTATTTATTACACATTACATTGAAATTCTATTCTAAAAACAGATTTTTCATTTAAGAATACAAAGATGTAATATTATAAATCTTCCAAAATATAACTTTCAATTCAGGAGTATAATGATACCTTGACATTTATTGACAGTTTTTGTAAGGTGGTACTATAATCACCAATATCTATAATATTACTTTCCTAATATTCATAAATTAACAATCTTTTGTTTTGAGAACTGTATACTAACTGCAATTAATTACCTAAGGAAATATATAACAATACAATGAACTAATTTTTAGTAATGTGAGAAAACTATAATTATTACTCAAATAATTATTTTTATTTCATTTAGTTTGTAAGTATATTATAATAGTATTAATTTAACTGAATTTAATTTATGCTAGTTACCTAAGAACATAAGTGCAGCTAAAAACATCCATATTTAAAGCATTTACACTTGCCACCAATCCTTTCAAAATCTCTCACACACAGCATCCATCTTATCAAACCTCCTGGAAACTCCCATAAATGGGTAAACAGGGAATATAAATCTAGCTTTGTCAAAATCACACACAGCCCTGCAGGCAGCATGCAAAACCCAAGAATGAGGAGGGAGGGTGAAAAGAGAAACTGAACAGAAAGAACAGGGAGAAAGGGGCTGGGAGGACAGGTGAGGAGAGGGAATACAAAGATGGTTGAGCCTTACCATCTGTTCAAAGTTAGCAGTACCAGCAACTCTGTGAATTCCAGCAAAACAGAATAACAACCAAAGGGGCTTTGTTGTGCGTGTTTAATTAGTTAACTCACAGAGGGAAGTATTCTTTTACATGTCTTTCAATTTCTACTGTATAACACCACAATCAACATTTTTAAATAAGTGTTTGAAAGTCAATGGAATGAGAAATATCAGTTTGATGGAAAAAGCAGGAATCCTAACGACATTAGCTCAGGAGAGAATCATCCAAAAAGTTCTGACTGAAGACTATAGGTCACCAGCCCCGACTGTCCGAATTAGTTTATTCTGGAAAGAGTCAGAACAAAGAGACAGGAAAGTTAGGAAAGAGATTAGGTGAGGTTTTGAGTTCGTTGTTCAATATTATGATTTCTAAGTTTTTTTTTATTTTGGCATTTGAAAGACCACAGTATAAAAAAAGTGTGTATATATTGTCTGGCAAGACTTTCTGGACTGGACTGCAGTCATTAATAGAGGATCAAAGGCAAGTACCGGTAAGTAAATTGGGAAAAAGGGTTGTGAGAGAGAATGGGAGTGCACAGGGGTGCAGACAGGTCTATTCAGGTTTATTTAAGAGGAAAGTGACAAAGTGTCAGAGAAAGGCACCCAGTTCTTGATTAACAGGCTTTCTGACAAATAGGATCAGGGTATCAGGTGTGTTAGAAGGGTAACATGAGAACAACTACTTAATCCAATAATACATTAACATTTATGCATTTGGGAGACACCTTTATTCAAAGTGATTGCATTCAAGGTATCAATTTTTTCAGCTAATACTTTCCCCACGAATTGAACCTTGGCATTGTTAGTACCACACTCTACAGCAGTGTTTCTCAACCCTGGTCCTGGTCGACCCCCCAACACTGCACATTTTGTGTGTCTCCCTAATCAAACACACCTGATTCAACTCATTAGCTCATTAGAGGAAACTCCAGGACCTGAAATGGGTGTGTCAGACAAGGGAGACATACAAAATGAACAGTGTTGGGGGGCACTCAAGGACCAGGGTTGAGAAACACTGCTCTACAGGAATGCCATTTCATCAAAATCAAGCTTGTTTAGCTCCCTTTTCTGTTTCAGTCTGTGGAAGATCTAGGCTCTTTATAAACAAGCATTTGGCACTGCAGTTTAGCCATTATTCTACCAATATCTGCCCATAATAGTGTCATTACAGAATCTTTGTAAAACTTAAGTCATTCCCACTTGGCATATAGCAAATATTAATCAGAACAGGTCATAACTTATGTGCCAAGAATACATTTTTGTCCAGTGTTTTGCAGCTATCAGTCAACAAGGTATCAGGATCGACTGAATGGGAGGAGACTGAAAAGTAGGGGGCGTCATCATTTAGTTAACCTTTGACCTTCAGAAACCAAGGCTATAATACAGTTTGAGTTTACACAGAAATAACTCCCAAAAACACTTGTTATGCAGCAGTTCAGATCATGCGAGTTAAAGCACAAGTTAGGATCCTACTGGTTTTAAGACAAACAGATGTGTTACACAGACATTTAAGAGACAGAACTGTAATTTGTCCATTTAAATATCATAGTTATTTTTTATGGTACATCATGGAGAGATTATGACATAAAAAGATCACACATTAACTCACCATTGCCATTCTCCTCACCTAAAAAACAACAACAAAAATATTAAATGATGGCACACTGCAATCTGAAATGTAATTAAGCCCTGAAGCTGCTGTATAAAGCTTTCTGTCAACAGTCACTCCCTCATATCAGACCACATTACAACACATAATATTCCCTTATTTATAATACTTGAACGAGAGAGCTTTTTAATGCTGCTGTCATTTAGATAAGACAGTTTAATAATGTTTGGCTCAGATGCAGGAGTGTTAGAGACGCTTGGATTTGACACCGTCATTTAATGAGCTGGAAGTGGATTTGGCAGGACTGTGATAGTGAACTAAGAGGGCAACTTTCAGCTGTCTGGCATTACCGTGCTGACCACAAGATAAATGTGAGAGGGTGCCAAATGTCTTCCACATACCCCAACATGTCTTTTGTCGTGGTTGTAACTCTGATGTTTTGGAAGGGCTGCAATGGATTATTTATTGTCATCTGCATTAGATCTCATATTTTTGGATTCAGACTTATTCTAAATTGACAATTTAGATCAGCATTCCTGATGCCACTGAGAATGAAATCTTCAGGGTTACTATCAGTGCAGTGTGAACAGCATTGTTTTCAAAAATATGTCCAATAAGCTGCTGAAGATGATCTGCATTTTACCTTATGCCTGTATCTTTCATCTTGAGAAAAGTTATGCTACTAGTATTACATTTTCTACAGCCAGGTAAATGGTTTCTGCTCTTGCACCCTAGTTTTAACAGGCCTTAGGAAACTCCTTATCAGAATCCCCAAAGTGATTAAATTACAACACTAAAAGCAGAATTAACCAGCCCATAGGTGAGACTTACCCTTGGGTGGCCATGCTTTGGGTTTCCAGTCAGACTTGGGACGAGCATTAATTTCAGAAACACGATCAACAAAACGTGCGTGGTCTGTTGAAACGGTTCTATAAGCCTATCACAGAATTCAATAAACACATTAATTAATTCAACAAGTGAGCTGACATCAAACTTTATCATCAATGGTTTGAGTTTTAGTCAGACTTACATATGCCAAGCCACCTGCGAAGGCTCCACCGCAGAGCACGACATAAAGGAAATTCTCACCAGAGCCGCCAGGAACTGACGACATGAGCCTCCGTGGAACTACTGCATTAGTAAAGACAACAGGAGTAAGACAAAGATTTTGGATGTGTCAGGCAACAATGTAAGAAATCCTTTCTCCCTCTCTCAGTTTCAAGATTTAATCAATTTAATAGTTTAATAGAACTTAAAATATTATTTGTAGTTAATAGTTAATGTTTTAGTTAAAGTGCCTGACACAGAGATTGACCTTCATGGCAGTCAAACCAGAGCTGCTTTCTGCATTCATCTAGATATTTATTGTGTTCTTGCATCTCCATGACTCAGAAATATGGTTAAAATAAACTTAAGTGAACAGCATTTTAAACTATGGCTGTGAAGCCTACTAAGTGGACTCAAAATAAAATTCAGGTTTGTAACCCTGTATACACAAGTGTTACTGCAACAGTTATGGGTTTATATAAATCTATAGACATCAGTCAATGATTCCTCAATACATAAAAATAATTATGTATTATTTTCTTACTTAGATAATTGCTTATATCACCAAATATTTCATTTTATATACTATGCTTCATTGTCTATCAAAATAGTCTCCTTAGTGCTGACAGTTCCTTGTCCTAAAAAAAGTTAGAGGGCAGGGATCAACTTAAATTTAGAAAACCATCAGTGCAGTCCAATCAGGATAGGAGGGCAAAGATCATTCTGACACAAACTTTGTAGATTTTTTAAAGGAGTAACTTCAATACTCTCATTAAGATAATCCAGTCACTCGTGCCCAGCTAGAATAAATAGGTTCTAGACACCTCTGTGTTATTTATACCAGATAATCTGTTAATCTTTCCCAGGAGTCAAAGGGTGAAGCAAACAGAAAGCGATACATGCTCGGTTAGACTACTAGGAACCAACATAACGTTTTCAATGTCAGATGCGGATGACAATATCTAGTTTAGGTTGGCAATGGCCGATATAATTCCTATATTTACATAATACCATTTAACAACAGCAAATAAGAGATAAATGATGAAAGTAAACTCATATCTCACACAATATTTACAAAATGAAAAAGAAAAAAACGTATTCGTCTTAGTCTTATACTGACATCTAGTGGTGTGGATGCAGCATATATAAAAAAAGGAATAAATTAATTTAAAAAAAAATTTAGTTACCAAAAATGCCCTGTTTGCAGTCAGTCTCATTTATTTTATTCCACAAGTTAAAGCGTCCAATAATATATCTTTTTTTTAACAACTCTATATTCAAAGTTCACCATTTACAACACCATTTACTCAACCTCATGTCTGTTGAAACCCATGAACTTTTTGAACCAACTAAGCAGCAAATCTCCCTCTGCAAAGAGATTAATCACAGCTTGATACTGGAACGGTTGAGTGAACAAGAATTACAATGAAAGGCTTTAACATGTGGTATCTGACAAGTGTAGGCCTACCGTCCATCCGCTCATGGCTATTTGAGGAGATATTTATTGAACAGGACAGACAGTGTGATTATATCTAAGCTTATTTCAACATTTTCATGTAATATTCGTATTAACTGCATTACAAACATCCTAACCTAGATTTTCAAATACATTTATCCAATACAATCAAGCACAGCACTGTAAGGGCAGACAAATGTCTCGCTTCAAGAATGTTTGCATGTTTATTCAAACAACCAGGGTTTACCAACAGGGGTCTAACACCCCTAGGGTACATAAAGGAATTGCGGGGGTTTGTGAGATTGAAATGCCAGTGCTAAATTAAATATAACAAGAAAAGCAAATTTTTAGACGCCTAAGGTAGAAAAACTCAGAACTACATACACAACGCCATGAGCGAAAACAGAACTGAATTTTAAAAAAGCATGAGCTAGCGCACAGTCTAATGAATAACTACTAGTATCTAATAATAACTAGTCACAATTGGTCACAAATACATACTAGTCAGAACTAAATAGTTGATGTCTGAATGTACCTAAAAAATAATATTAGTACCTAATGGAATGGATACTAGTAGCTAAAAAATAAGTACTAGTAGCATTAAATGTAACGCGGCTTGCCATACAGCAGAGTTCCACAGGTCCGCGCGCCTGCGTCTATAGCTCGTCCACGTGAGCTGTACGTGAGTCTATGGTGGAAATATACTATGGCACCCTGCTGAGAACATTGAAGGTCACAAATCAAGCAGTATGAATACTTATACCATGATGTCAAACTTCAACCGATTCCCTATTACGCAATTTTGTGTTTCATAATCCATTTAGTGACGACAGAATGAATTTGACAGAACAGACATTAATCGAATCACGTTCAAGAGTCCACAGCTACATTTTCACAATGTTTAAAATGCACAGGGGTGGTCAATGGGTTTTTTTCTTCAATAATAGATCTCTGCAAAATGACTATTAGTGCAGATCTGCATTGCTCAAGATGGCTACATTTACAACACTTGTGTGCTTGGTGCCAGGCTGCGGTTTGAGAAGTGTACACTGTGTTCCCTGCAAATGCCAGCGAACATGTGTAAGTGTAGTAGGCGTGTAACCTCTGAAGGGCCCTAGAGAAATCTCGAAAGCCATTTAAAAATGTGGAGCACCAATAGGATGCGATGTTGAGACTGACCTTCATGTCCCCTTAACCCTAAACCACATGTAACCTGCCCAAAAAATGTGTCGTTTTGGTCAAATATTATGTTACAGCTCGCTCATTTTCATTGTAAGCAACATCGAAATGTGTGAAATATCACAAATAACAGATCGCGAAATCCCAAAACGCACTGCAAATTACATGACTTCTAGGAAAAATGAAACGTTATGAGACAGATTAGATGGTGCTCACCATCACTATTGAGCTGTGCGCGGTACAGGGACTGTCGCGCCAGAGGTCCACACCGCTGCCAGGCTGCTCTGCACGCAAACATCGTCCAAACTGCGAGTCCAGCGGAGGCGCAATGAATGACTGAGCAAGTGCGGAGACAGTTGGAGGGGAGGAGTGAACATGAGGGGAGGAGAAAACGCTCGGCTAAATCCTCCCACTGCTGGGATTCCGTGGCACTGCCTTCAAAGCAACGAAGTATCATTTCGATTTACTCAAATAGTCTTTTAAACCGTATTATTTGTTTAATTTATGCAACTTACATTGCAAAAACATCTAAACTGAATTAAAGTTCCACACGATTATCCCAGTTTTCGCAGATTTGTCATGGTACCAGCACTTACAGAACATTTTCTCTCATGTTAACTGTATTAACTGTACTATATTAGTGTATGGTTCCCGTTTATTTTCATCCCAGTTCTTACGTTCCAATAACGTTCACAGGGGTGTTTGTGTGACAACCTAATAAGAACATATAGAACATTTTCTAATAGTTGTTTTCTAGGTTTCTTAACTGGACACTAATGTTACCAGAAACTTGCAGAATGGTTTTAGTGTAACAGCCTGTCTACTGTTAGCTGGAGTCAAATGTTTATTATACTATTCTGTTTAATAGTATGTTTAAATATACAGTATGCTTTTTTTTAACAGTAAGCTACAGTGATTAATAAGACAGGACATTCTCCAGAGCTCTCTGGCCAATTAATTAGTATACTATTATGAGATTTTGGCTCAGACAATTTACCATTACACCCAACATATTCACTTTTTTGTGTCCATGCATGTTCTCCACTGTATGAAGGTAATCTTTTTATTCAAATCATCAACTTGTTTCTCCTAAACACATGAACTCTTATTGAATATTAAAAATGTAATCTGGGAACGTCACTGGTTTGTTGACACTGAATGTTGGCTTCAAAAGTCTGATCCCATTGAAAGAATTGACAGTTGTATTTACTTAATTAGGATAGACAAAGTTCAAGAATGATTCTGTAATTGTTTTGCTTATGAACCACATCATAAGTCTAAATTGAAGGGAACAAAGCTTAACTGTATATTTAACAATATTTATATCTCTGCAACTCATGTTTGCTGGAGTCAAGAGAGAGTGACTAGAGGCAAGTTATATATACACATCTTTAATAAACATTATTGTACATCTTTCAAAAGCAGAGGACACAGTGAAGCAGGAAACACAGAAGATCCACAAAACACAGAGCAATCGTTGCCCTACAAAGGAAAAAACAGTTACTATTACATCATTAGCATGGCATCACTTAACAAACAAAATTTACAAATGACACTGGGCCTCATTTATCAAACTAACGTAGAAACGAGCACAGATCCGTGCGCACAAATCAACTTACGACAGAGTTCACGTGTGATTTATGAAACATTCGTATGCTGCTAATCTCATCGTACGAATGATCGCATGTTGATAAATGTGGCGCCAGAAAACAATCGTTATTTGAATATCACGCCCCTAAAAACACCCAGGTTTAGAAGACTCGCCCTAGAGTTTACGACACGCAGAAACGAAACCCGGCCAAAAAGAGGAAGTAATCTCATGAAAGAGAAATTTATCTTACTCCAAAAACACCCTTTAACCTTGTAATTGCAAACAATTAGGCTACATTAATTTATGTAATTTATATGCATATTCAAATACTGGCAAATATAAACAGCCTATTTAGTTCCCCTCACTCTACAACAAATATTTAAAATTTAACGGTATTCAGAACAGAACAAGAATGAAAAATAAGTAGTTATAAAATTATATATTAAACTATAAAATAAAACACAAATTAGGCTATAGTGGCATTCATTACAAACAGCATACAAATGTCAAGCAAATGTTTCAATTTCTGCCATATTTGTAACATTTGTTTGCATAACTATTATTCATTATGCAGCCTAAACATGGCTTTATACTTCACTCATGTTCTAATATCCATGTTTGATGATGAATGGCTGAAATGTCAGGCAACGCTAGAACTAATGTTGTTTGTGTGTGCGTGAGGCGCCTCTGCGATCAGATGGGTTAAATCAAATAAAGATGAATATCTTAAAATAAAGAAAATATTTTTATAAATAAATAAATGTATAATCTTTAATAAAGAAAGAAAATAAAATGCATTAAGAGTGTCACAAAAACGAGAGTAGCCTATACTTGTTGCACAGTGTTTTTTTCCCCTTAATCTGTTAATTATATTATAGCCTATTATATATTTTGTGTGATCCTATTGATTTTATCCCTTTTAGAAACTTAATTTCTGTTTTTCTCCTTTCGCAGAAGCGCTGCAGGTGCATGATGCGACGATTGAATCCTCACGGTCGTGTTTATGCTGCTATTCGCGCATATAAAGCTAAAGCCCTGTACAAAACAACACCAAAAAAAGACATTCTAATCTTACTGATTAACGATCGACTAATGAGCTTCGTTTGACGGTCAGGAATATAAAAATGAACAAAATGCTGTCAATCTACAATTCTCCACCGTATTTACTATGCTGTGCGCAACTTCATGTAACTCAAAAACTTGCGTACACGAGCTGAGACCAGACGTGAGATTTGATCGTAGCCACCGCTCACGTCCATATTGATAAATTCCACATTTTGCGTTGAAACGACAGTACACCCAATTTTCTGTCGTACGTTCGTTACGTAAATGAGGCCCACTAACACTGACTAAAGCAGGGGTGCCCAAACTCAGTCCTGGAGGGCCAGTGTCCTGCAGAGTTTAGATCCATCTTACCTCAACACACCTGCCGCAAAGTTTCTAGTATGTCTAGTAAGAGCTTGATTAGCTGGTTCAGGTGTGTTTAATTGGGGTTGGAGCTAAACTCTGCAGGACACCGGCCCTCCAGGACCGAGTTTGGGCACCCCTGGACTAAAGAGATGATAATGGTTTTACTTACATGGTCTCATGGATTACTCTAACCCACTCTGTGTTTTGTACTCATGCACATCAGTGCTGTGCTGTTTAAACAGCTGGTGGGGAACAGAGAGTGCGTTTATAAAAATCTAAAAAGAAAGTCTGTGCATATGTTTGAGAGATCATTCAAAGCGAGTTACCAATGCCCACAAGACAGCGGCGCTTCCAAATGCCAGTCCTAGTCTCAGCATGTTTGGCTTGGAGGGATCCGGTTTGGAAGCTATAAAGAAATGTCTGCTAACCACTGAAAAGAGAGAGAAAATCGTATATATTTAACACAATGTTTGATTTATTGGACAGTTTTGGTAGCTTGATAGTTTGTATATGAATTGATTTATTAACCCACTGATCGGCAGTTTTCCAAATATTTAAAATGTTATCAAGCACAAAATTCCCATTTTGTTAGATGTAATACGTATGAATGTAACAATTATTAAGATAATAAAAAATAAACATTTTCAGTGTCCTTGGTTGTAAATCACAAAAACCTGAAAATGGCAATTCAAACATATATATATATATATATATAGATTACAAATGTATTCTAAAACTTTAGAATAAAGTAAAATAAAAAAAAATAAAAATAAAACTTTTTTTTGTTAATGCCTGTAACATATAAATAACATATACGTGCGATGAAACTATAATATATTGGCTGCTGTGTTGCTAGTCTTGCTATGTAAGCAAGGTCAGGCCATACTGCTTTGCTAACTTACATGAGGCGAATAAACAAATATACCGAGGAAATGTACTGAGACTATAATGTACGTCAAATATCATTTGCATTTTCGTACTCACTCTTATTGACAGCTGAAGTCCGCAACAATAACCGACCGAGAGGCATTTTGACAGAGTTTCTCTCCCAGACAAAATGCGATCTTTGCTCGATTACTTTCCCTGACTCCTGGAATGGCTGACCTAGTGGCAAGTAGAGTAATCGATCACGAACGAATGAAACGCACTCTTCTTCTTCTTCTTCTTCTGATGTTTATTGGCGGTTTTGGCAAACCAACTTAAAGGTGCATTACCGCCACCTACTGATCTGGAGTGTGGAGTGAACAGATTTGGTAGAGAGAAGGATATTATTAAAAAAAAATAATAATAATAATAATAATTTTTTTTATATATATATATATAAACCTACACTATTACATTTTATATTCTTTCCATATTTCCTGTCTTCTTTAGATAATTGAACACTTCTTCTTTAATTCTAGATTGCATTCGTCTATTCCCTAGTAATATCTTTAGTGATACTTTATCAAATCCCATCAAACCTAATTTATGATTAAGCTGATTTCTTTCTCTTTCATACGCATCACATTCTAGAAGAATATGCTTTACTGTTTCTGGATTCCCACATTTATCACATCTTCCATTTTCATGCTTCCCTATTTTGTGTAAATTGAAATTTAAAGCTGAATGTCCAATCCTCATTCTTGTTATAATAACATCTTTCTTCCTACTCCCACATCTTATTCTCTCTTCACCTACACACCCCTGTATCTGGTAAAGATGCCTTCCTTTTATTCCACTATCCCATAACTTTTGCCATATCTTTCTTACTTCAACTGATATAATTCTCTTGATTTCAGATTTGCTAATTGCTATATTAATTTCACTATGTGAGTGCTTCAGAGCCATCTTAGCCAAGCAGTCCACTTCCTCATTTCCCTCCACCCCAGTATGAGCCGGTACCCATAGGAAGTATACCATTATCCCTGATTGTCTAATTCTAAACAAATACTGTAATACTTCATATATTAGATCTTGCCGCGCTGCAGATTTACCACTCTCTAGACTTGTTAGAACAGACATTGAATCTGTACATATTACAATATTATTTGGTTGTATTTCTTCAATCCATTGTAGTGCTAATATAATTGCTATTAATTCTGTAGTAAAAACAGACAAATGATCTGATATTCTTTTGGCTATTTTTATTTTAAATGCAGGAATATATACTGCTGCTGCTGTCCTTCCAGATTCAGGATCCTTCGACCCATCCGTATAAATCTGTAATTGTGAATAATATGCTTGATTTATATACTGTTGAACTACTATATTTATAGGAATGATCTTCTCCTTTTCATTTATTTCTTTTTGTATTTGAAAGTCAATCAAAGGCATTGGAAACAACCACGGTGGAACCACTGGAATGAAACGCACTCGAGTGAACATACAACCATTCATTCAAAAAACTCTATATTCATGAAAAATATTAAAGGTTTTCTTTTTTTATTGACAATGTTCTCTAAATATATGCTGTAGTCTTTGGTCTCCTGGAAAAATATAAATTAAATAAAAACTCCCAAAACAATAATAAATGTGTATGAGAAAATACATTTATTATCTTGGAATGGAATGATACATAAATATATTAAAATGATCCTGAATCTATAAAATCTAAAAATCCTTCAAAATGTTCCACTCAAAAAATACTTGTGTATACACACATTTTTTAAAACTCTTTTTCTGTTGAACACAAATACAAGAATAATCAATATCTAAATGATATCTCTCTAACACACTTTTAGCTGAATATATACCCTGTAAAGCCACATAAACTCTTTTACTTTATTACTTAAACAGTATTTTCCACAAATACTCCACGTTTTACTCCAGTTTATACACATTTGTCCACAATAGGCTTTTATGAGTAGCTGTTTCATCAGTTATAATAAACATATGTTCATTAGTACACTTGCTCCCACAAGCCCTTACAAATGTATACAGTCTATGGTCAAACACAACAGCATACGACCAAGATAATATTGCCATCTAGTGACTACAATGCATTCGGCATAACAGGCATCATTCAATATATATGCTTGGTCGTACATTTATTGTAATCGCCAGGGCAACACTGTCATTTAATTTCAAATGATGTATATTTCTCGTATAATTACATATTTTAATGTATAATATATATATATTTAAAAAAGTTAATTTCATCCCCGACTCGGAAATAGTGCACACTCAGCGCATGCGCAGTTCACCGCTTGACCCGGGGAGAAGCAGCGTCGCCATTTTGGTTCTGAAGGGGGGCCTGCTGTCACCACGTGAAGGCGAGAAGCCCCAGACAGCGAAGTTCGGGGGGGCTATTACGATACGGCAGACAATCCGGCCAGAGGATCGCGGATTCCGATTCATGATCAGAGTAAAGTCACGGTGATCAGTACCCAAGAAAAATCAGAAGCATGCCCTCGATAACTCTGCCGCCGAAGGAGAACGCTCTCTTTAAGAGAATATTGGTAAGTTGAGGAAAATCTATCTACAAACGAACGCTGGATTGTTAATAATAGAACGCAAGCGTGTGTCAACCCCCTTCCTATTTTAGCCAGGCTCTCTCTCCGCTGACCTCAAGAGAAACCTACTAAGAGTCTCTGCAAGCTAACAGAGAGCATTGGCATTGCTTTAATACTCATAACATGACTATTAGCTCATGCACGTTCACGCACTTTGAGAGCAGATGAACTTGCCCGACACAGAACGGCTAAATAAGCGCAAAGATCAGTGATTTGATAGCTGTGTGGACGGAATAAACATTAAACAGTGCTAAACAACGTGTCGTTTGAGGGTTTTGTGCACTAGTCGTGTCAAAACACGGGGTTGAATCGATTAGTCACCGTACAAGTGAACAGAATGAAAGTTAATCCATTTAAAGCAACACTAACCTCAAATTAATAGCAGAGTATGAGACATACGAAGGTATTGATGCAATAATTACGTTAGTGTGTCGTTTACAGATTTGTTATGCAAGCTTTATTGGAAAAACGTGATTTTCTCATTATTGTGCATTATTGGACAATTTAATTAGTACCTGAACGCTACCCCTCAAATCTGCTGTCAGATCCTAACTGGAGAAATCATGCATTAACCAGTAAATTATATACACATTTGAAAAGAGAAACTTTAGTCCAGGAATCAGGATTTCTTAGTCATGTCAAGGGAGGGACATGTTTTTGAATGGACAGAAGTGGGTGTAATGCAAGATGAGTCAAATAATATTGATATTAGTTAGTCGATATACTGGATATATTGTTTTTAACAATTATTCTGTTACTGAGATTTAATAATAGTTGAACCTTAAACTTGTCAACATATAGTAGCACACTTGCATGTAGTGTGTGTTATATGCTGACACAGTAGCATGTAGCAAATCTGCTTTGCTAAAAGTTGCAAAACTTTGTGATTTCACAGGGGTTTTAATAAGATTATGCCACAAAATACAGGTTTAATTGATTAAGTATCAAGTTTACTTTAAAGGTTCACACAGAAACCAAAAGAGAATGTACTGTGGGAAACTGACTTGCTTGACAGGTTGGCTGTGTCTCAAAACCTGGTTAGCTGTCTGCCTAGATAACATTTATGATCATGTTTCTGGGCAGTTCAGTTTTCTAGGACACAGCTGGTAAAATGACTACTCTGATAGAGAACAATTAAAAATAGTTTTAAACATCCAAATGATGAACTTTTGTTGTTATGAAACTCTTTGTGCTTTAAAGTCACCATGAAATCAAAATAGAAAATTCTTATTTTTTAATGGAATATTGTAGTGTTTATTATAAATAATTTATCCGTGAACGTCATTATTTTTTTAAAATTCATGTTCCCTTTAATCAAAAAACCGTTAACCTCCCCTCCCCCTCAAAACGACTCATTCTCTTTCGGTCACGAGCTATGGCGCAAGGGCGGAGCTAGAGACGTGAGGGGTAAACGACTCGGATATACGTCACATTAGAGAAGAAAAGACAATCGCAACTTCCGTTTCATGCCGACTTTAAGAAGTTGTAGTAGTTTTAGGTTGTAGTGATTTAACAGTCATTGCTCTTAAAGGGATAGTTCATCCAAAAATGAAAATTTGATGTTTATCTGCTTACCCCCAGGGCATCCAAGATGTAGGTGACTGTTTCTTCAGTAGAACACAAATTATGATTAAGTCCAGCCGTTGCAGTCTATCAGTCGTATAATGCATGGCAATGGTAACAAAATCTATGAGAGTAAAAAAAACATGCACAGACAAATCCAAATTAAACCCTGATAAACAGCAGATAGCAGATAAACGTCAAATTTTCGTTTTTGGGTGAACTATCCCTTTAATTAGTAATGTGTATTAAAGGGGTCATATGATGCGATTTCAAGTTTTCCTTTCTCTTTGGAGTGTTACAAGCTGATTGTGCATAGATAAGATCCCTGAAGTTGCAAAGACTAACGTCTCAAAACCAAAGAGATATTCTTTATCAAAGTTAAGACTCTGCCACGCCCCCCTAAAATGACTCGTTCTAACACGCCCCCCACATATCTACCTCACTATGTGGAAATATTAGCATAATGCCGTCAAAATGTTCACGCAAATAAAGAAGGCGTGGTTTCAGTAACCGCAGTTAGTGATGAAGCAGCCATGTCAGGGAGACGCTGTGTGTTTCTAGGCAAAAGCACTTTATTTGGCCTTCCGAAAGTAGATGCATTTAGGAATATTTAAGATTACTTACAACAGAACAGCAATGCATTTTATGGACGACCGTTTTGTGAACCTAGGAGAGGAGGTAATTCTGACTTTGCTGTGACAATCTGGCGCTTCTGAATCAGCTACTTTTTGTTATTAGTTTAAGTATTTGCTATTGACTGTTCAAATGCGGAGTTTTGCGCATCATATGTTTGTGTGTGTGTGTGTGCGCGCGTGCGTGTGAGAGAGAGTGAGAGAGACCAGCTTCATCACTGTCTGTGACGTGACTCTGTTCCCCTTTCGGGCTCTGTCTTTACATTTATTTTGAAAGATGAAGATGAAGCGATTATGGTAAGGGGCGTTACATTTCTGACGAGTGCTTGTGGTGTTCGGCCAATCACAATGCACTGGGTCAGCTGGCCAATCAGAGCAGACTGCGCTTGTCGGAAGGAGGGACTTTGTAGAAAACGAAGCGTTTGAGAGAGGCTGGGCATAGAGGACCTACAATAATGTACAGTATTTGAAAAATAATGTGTTTTTGAACATTAAAGCATGTCAACATATTCTGTTACACCAAATACACAAAATAATGATCTTTAAAAAAGCATCATATGACCCCTTTAATGACCAGTCATGAAACATCCCCAAATGGTTGTTTTTACTGATTGTTAGACAGTGCTGATTTCTGTTATTCCAGAATACAGAGTAAGACATTCAAGGTCATCTGACGATGGTTTATTTGTGCTTTCTAACATCTGTTTCTGTTCTGTCACAGAGAGGGAGCTTGAGTTGTTAAAATACCTTATTTTGATTTAATTTCTTAGACTCACACATAACTTTTCAGTCATAATAACAATGCCAACTGCAGAGCCTAAAGAGATCTGTCCATTAAACATGATTATGCCAGAGGGCATTCCTTCATGTTACTGTTATGTTGATATTTGGCAGACAGCTCTCCTGGGATGTCTAAACTGTTGTGGTGACCAAAATAGATCGGGAATCTGTTTTGTAATTAACATCTCACCATCATAGCCTTTTTTTTCTGAGCATGCCACAGGCGTTTTAGCAGCATTGTGAACTACTTTAATAAGAGTTACATGAGGAAAGGCTGGAATACACTACACAATCCCCCCCCATTTACGGTCTGAGCAAGTTGAAGCTAGTTGCCGAAAGTCAAAGCCAGTCTGCAGATTTGAGTTGACAGAAAATCACATAGTGTATGGTAGTCAAAGACTCTACTTTTTAGCTTCAGACTATGATTCCATACAGTTGGAGGATATTATTGCAACACGAGGTGCGTCAGATTCCTTTCTAGCACTGATATCTTGATTATCCAGCTCATGTCTTTGCATGAGTTCATGATCTCCTTTTGCCTTTGTATCGTCTGCTACAGAGTGCTAAGGTGATTCACACTTGTACACTGAGTGTCCTGATTTTATATTTGGAATCATGATGTGCCTCACACTTATTTCTATGTGGTTTTGAAGGTGATTTGAAGTGTTCAGAAGATGTACATCACTAACCACACACCTTAACCCTACTTTCATTTTGCCTAATGCGCAGTGAAAGTGTTATTATTAGCGTGCATTTTCCATTTTATGTCTTGCAGAGATGCTATGAACACAAGCAGTACAGAAATGGGCTCAAGTTTTGCAAACAGATCCTGTCCAACCCGAAGTTTGCCGAACACGGAGGTAAGCCCATTCTCAGACATTCATTACTTCACTTTCTCATCATTTTGACTAATTAAATTTGTTGAGCGCATGATGATCTCTTTTTTTCCCATCCCGCAGAGACCCTTGCAATGAAAGGACTGACTCTGAACTGCTTGGGCCGAAAGGAGGAGGCATATGACCTAGTGCGACGTGGCTTACGAAATGATCTGAAGAGTCATGTCTGTATCCTTAACACTTTTTCCACTGTCAGTAGATTCATGAAAAGCGTTGTCAAAAGAATGAGTAATATCTGTGCACAACTGTTAAAGTGAAGTTAAAGTGATGTGATGTGTGGCCAAGTATGGTGTCCAATACTCTGAAATTGTGCTCTGCATTTAACCCATCCAAGTGCACACACAGTAGTGAACACACACACACACACCGTAAACACACACCCGGAGCAGTGGGCAGCCATGTGCTGCTGCTCCCGGGGAGCAGTTGGGGGTTTGCCTTGCTCAAGGGTCTTACCTCAGTCATGAGAGCTTTTTATTGTTTTTAACCTTACCACATTTTAAAGGCACAATATGTAAGATTTTTTTTATTAAAATATCCAAAAACCACTAGAACAGTGTTATATATTTTGCTGACTTGTGTACTTACATTATCCCAAATGTTTCAAAGAATGTTTAAATCCAGAGAAATAAGCAATTTTAACTAGTGACACGGACCGTGTCCATAGTGTCATTGTGTCGCCTGCCAATGACGTCATAACCCCTCGATTTCCGGTTTTATTTTGTAGAAAACATGGAAACACCAAAGACGCTTTAATATGTTGTGCGTTTTAATAGACCGGTGACGACCGCACAGAGTAGTGTTATAACAGAACTTTCAAATGTATCTAGTATGATAAAACAGTGCTGCTTTTTTTCCCCCCACATACGCATGACAGGAAGGAGCGGAAGCGGTCGGCTGTGGCATAATAAAAGCTCCGCTGCTTTCGAGCCGTGTGTCACGCTCGTTCAGCGGCCTCGTTTAGCTTCGATGGCTTTCAGCCTCACCCTGCTTCATTCTACTACATTAATAAATCATTAGCTCATCCATGAACATGATTTCTGCCCGAGTCCCGTCGGATTGCATCGGCTGTGGGGATGAAGACAACAACTCCCATGATTCCACACTCAGTCACAGCGTCATCAAACTACACCTTTGTCTATTTGTTTATTTTGAATACACGCCCTCTAGCGGCGAAAATTACATATTGTGCCTTTTAAGGGGAAATCAAATGCCCATTTTCCACAATTTGGTATGATTCTTTAGGGTCTTCATGAAATGTCTAAAATTCCTCCGTGGTCGTGTAAAACAACACCCATTTTACCTTGTCAAAAAAAGCTTTGTTCACAGCGACCCGTTTTGATGCATGTCTCTTTAATTGATAATTGTGTCCACACAAGACACATTTATATGCAAACACCATGTAAAAGTGAATTTTGCATCTGATGTCCCCTTTAAATTGCAGAAAAATATAAATTTGTTTATTTTCCCGCCAAATCGTACAGCCCTAGGCGCAGTGCTGTTTCCTGTCCTTAAATTATCTTCAGGTTGGCACGTGTATGGTTTGCTTCAGCGCTCAGATAAGAAGTATGACGAGGCCATCAAGTGCTACAGGAATGCTCTTAAATGGGACAAAGACAATCTGCAAATCCTCAGAGATCTCTCACTGCTGCAGATCCAAATGAGAGACCTCGAAGGTTACAGGGTAAGTTATTTTGAATGTAAGTGCTTCCATGTGTTAGAAAACTACAATGTTCCATGGTGCAAGCCAGTAAAAATACTTTTTCCAAAGGCATCCTTTCACTCAAATTGTTATGGTCATAATATAATTTGTAACATTTCATCACAGGAGACCAGGTACCAGTTACTGCAGTTGCGGCCAGCTCAAAGAGCCTCCTGGATCGGTTATGCCATTGCATACCACCTTCTGGAAGATTATGAGATGGCTGCTAAGATCGTGGAGGAGTTCCGCAAAACACAACAGGTATATTTTTCACTGCTTCCTGTCAGTTGTCATCTACACTAAGTTTATTGTTGCAGATAGCTTAGTAGTGGATACCACCAGGTGTTTGTTTTTGGATGCCACTGAGGTTTGTTGTTGATTGTGTTTCAGACATCTCCAGATAAAGTGGATTACGAGTACAGTGAGCTGTTGCTTTATCAGAATCAGCTGTTGAGGGAGGCCGGGCTTAGCAAAGAAGCCCTCGATCACCTGACCAGCTATGAAAAACAGATCTGTGACAAACTGGCTGTAGAGGAGACACGAGGTGTGTTTTTTTTTATATGCATATATATTGGTTATTGGCTGAAATTAGAGGGTTTCTGTTTTTTTCCCGGCTGATTGCATGATAATCGGTGTATGCTCATTTTTCATATTTTGCTGTCATCTGATGCTTGCTTAATATTTAAAACAAACTCATTTAATAACACTGTTAAATCCTATCAAATCTCAGAATGAATATTCATATTTTAATGCTGAACATGTTGTGTTGTGATGCCTAAATTCACTTATACTATTTAAATGTATTTATTTTTTTTTTCTAATTTATTATTTTTTTTTTAGTTTTTTTTTTTTTTAGTTATTTAACTACCATTCAAAAGTTTTGGGTGGGTGAGATTTTTTTTTTTTTTTTTAAGAAGACTCTGATGCTCACCAAGACTGCATTTACTGAATTGGTGCTCAAGAAACATTTATTATTATTAATGGGGTGCTCCAATTGATTGGCTACCGATCTCTATCAGCCGATAATGGCTTGGGGAAGTTTGATCGGCGGTCTCTATAAAGGTTGATCTCATAAACCAATCTCAAGCTGATGACGCGTGCCTGCTGTGAGAGGTTTGGCATGACATGCAGCGGCACGGTCTCAATCTCTGTCCGGCATGGGTAAAATAATTATAATGCTGATGGTGAGGTGCAGTTGATATTTCTTCAGTAAATAACTTATAAAGCCATTTTCTGTGATCTATAATTTCACAAACAGCGTGAGTGAATCACCGTGCGCTTTCTCTTTCCTTCTCTAAATGCGCAAATGGCTTCAAATCAGCACATCGCGTCTGCACAATATGCAAGCTGCACAGTTCACACAGGAATTGTCACTTACACAGGAATTGTCACTTGCACAATCGAGGCAGTTGCATCGTCACTAAAGTTTATAATTTTAATTTCTTTTTAATTCTTGCCAGTGTTTAATTCAGCACTTGCGTGCTCGCCTAGAGACGGTGCGCTCATGCACACTCAAAGCACACACACATAACTCCAGTTTCACACATACTCTTGCTTATATTTATTGCGTTTAAAGGGGTCCTATTATGCTCTTTTACAAAGTCTTGATTTTGTTTTGGGGGTGTACTAGAACAGGCTCTCATACTAGGTTGTTGTGTGATTGGCAGCACTCGGCGCCTGGTCGGGAAATGTCACGCCCCTTACCATAGCCGCCTGCAAGCTTCAGTGTAAATATTGCGCCAAAATCAAATCAAATTGAGCGTGATTTAAACCCAGATGATTGTAACCACTCTAAGTTCATCTGCCTTGGGAAAGCTAGCATGTCTCCGACATAGTGATAACACTTGTTGCCTTCTCTAGTGCAGCTCAACCAGGTCTCGTCCCATTTGTCCTGGAAAATATGCGTTGTAGTCCAGACGAGTCGTTCGTTGTAGTTTTTGAAAAGTGATTTCTGTTAAATAAAATATCTCCTTTTGAACTGGGCTTTGAGCTTTGTAACTTTGCAGATCTTTTTTTATGCTCAAACAGCAACATTACAGACTAACTAAAGTTGAAAAAGTGAAAAAGCATAATAGGATCCCTTTAAACACGTCTGTGAAAGATTGTATTACTGTACTGCGTAAAAACAGAATCACAATGCTCAAAAAGCATTTTCAGTAACAACGTTTGGATTTGAAATCAAAAAGGATAAATGTTGTGTTTGTGGCGAACAGCCACGGATCAGTAGCGGACCTCTGTGTGAAAGCACAGTATGAGTCCGTGCTGCTTCTGCACCACTTACATACTGCAAATGGACTGCATGCGCACTGCAAACGGAGTATGTGTGAACTTGGCATGAGGCCACCTCACATACAGCTCACGAAATCTGGCTTGTGCTGTGTGTAAGCTATTGTGCAACAATTGCCCCATGGTAAAAAACAAAATGCACTGCATGATCAAACATTTAGGTGAGATAATTATATAGGCCTATGTGATAACAAACACATCAATTGGTTAAGACATCATGTAGGATAATACATTATTTTTTCTTTTTATAATCTGAGCTCAAAAATGGAAGTGTGCTTAATGGGTATGTGAGCTTAATAGGTACCCTATTTTTGTAAGTCCCCCTCCACAAGAGTCACCTAAGAGGGGAATTCCCCCCATTTTCAAAAATGAAATTCAGGCCCTGAGTGAATGTCTGTAAAAATCCTGACTGGAGCATCACTATAAATGACTCTAAATGATAAAAGGAAGGCTTCAAAAAGATCGGTATCGGCAGATACTTCTTCCTGTGATCGACAATCTGTGACCTGCCCAAAAATCCTGATCGGAGCACCCTTAATTATTAATACTGAAAACAGTTGTGCTGCTGAATATTTTTGTGGAAACTGGTACAATTGTAGGATAAAATGAGTAGATGAATAGCATTTATTTGAAATAGTAATCTTTTGTAAAAATGTTTAATGTATGTACCACCAATTTTCATGTGTTGATAAAAGTATTAATTTCTTTCAAAAAGAATTGTTGACCCGAAACTTTTGAACGGTAGTTTATTTTTTATTTAAACAAAATAACAGAATTTTTATGTTAATTGTATATTTTCTGCGTTGACATCCTTATGTGTGCCATGAACTTGTTTATGCTGTGCTGTCGCCGTTTCTTTAAAGCAACGTATGTTGATATGTGTGTAGGAGAGCTGCTTCTCAAGTTAGATCGGGCTGGTGAAGCTACGGAGGTCTACCACCGACTGCTGGAGAGAAACCCTGAGAACTGGAGCTATTATCAAGGGCTAGAGAAAGCACTCAAACCAAGTAAATATAAATTTTTCTGGACACAAATCTTGGCTGATTTTCATTTCTATGAATCCCTGATACTATGTCATACTGCTCTCAGAGAGTGTTGAGGGGAAGCAGAAAATCTATGAAGATGCCTGGGTTAAGTATCCTAAAGGCCTGGTGCCAAGAAGACTTCCTCTCAGCTTCCTCACAGGTCAGCGCCAGTCTTGTCAAATCAATAGGGCTGTTATGCTCTCATAATGTGTCTGTGTATGTGACCGCATTTGGCTCTCCCAGGTGAGAAGTTTAGAGAGTGTTTGGATCGCTACCTGCGGATGAACTTCAGCAAAGGATGCCCGCCTGTCTTTACCACACTGAAATCACTCTACCACCTTAAAGACAAGGTGAGATGGGCGATGTGACCAAGAAAATGTGTAGAAGTTTCTTCTGGACTTAAACATATAAGAAAATATATATTTTTTTATAACGTCTTCCTGTCTTCTGCAGGTAGCAATAATTGATGAATTAGTTGTGGGCTATGAAAAAAGTTTGAGAGCTTGTAAAATGTTCAACCAAAATGGTGAGTACATGTGAACAGATTTTAATGACGGATAGCAGTTGCAGTAATGGTGCCAAAGTTCTCACTGTGGACATGTGATGCTGAATTTGTAGATGATGGAAAGACAGAGCCACCCACTACTTTACTGTGGGTTCAGTATTTCCTTGCCCAGCATTTCAACCATATCGGCAAACAGACTCTTGCCCTCGAATACATCAACACAGCCATTGAAAGCACCCCCACCCTCATAGAGCTCTTCCTCATCAAGGCGAAGATATACAAGGTAAACGCACTCAGGTCGTTGAAACAGCCTGAGGTAAAAGAAATGAGAGACTTAAGAGAATTAATTTAGTTTTCCATGCCTTGTTCTCTTGAAAGCATGCGGGTAACATCCGTGAAGCTGCTCGCTGGATGGACGAGGCCCAGGCTCTGGACACCGCTGACCGCTTCATCAACTCCAAGTGTGCCAAGTATTTGCTCAAGGCTGGACTTATCAAAGAGGCTGAAGAAATGTGTTCCAAGTTCACACGGGTTAGTATGGTGAAGGTCACACACTTGTGAGAGCGCACTTAAAGGGGTCCTATTATGCTCTTTTACAAAGTCTTGATTTAGTTTTGGGGGTGTACTAGAACAGGCTCTCATACTAGGTTGTTCGAAAAACACATTATTTTTCACATATTTGACATTATTACAACACCTCTCTCCTCAGTCTGGCATGAACGGCTCGAATAGTTCCTGTACCCAATGAAGGCCTGCCTTCTGAAATACGAAATGTGCTGTGATTGGTTAGCTGGGCCAGTGTGTGTTGTGATTGGCAGCACTCGGCACCTGGTCGGGAAATGTCACGCCCCTTACCATAGCCGCCTGCGAGCTTCAGTGTAAATATTGCGTCAAAATCAAATCAATTGTGACCACTCTAAGTTCGTCTGGCTTGGGAAAGCTAGCGTGTCTCCGACATAGTGATAACACTCATTGCCTTCTCTAGTGCAGCTCAACCAGGTCTCGTCCCATTCGTCGATATTTGTGATATCACAAATCCCAGAAAATATGCGTTGTAGTCCAAACGAATCGTTCGTTGTAGTTTTTGAAGAGGGATTTCTGTTAAATAAAATATCTCCTTTAGAAGTGGACTTTGAGCTTTGTAACTTTGCAGATCTTTTTTATGCTCAAACAGCAACATTACAGACTAACTAAAGTTGAAAATGTGAAAAAGCATAATAGGACCCCTTTAACATAACACAATTATTACATAAGATGGTTCAAACGGTCAATTAGATTTTTTGTTAAAGAATTTAATGCTTTTATTCAGTAAGAGTGCATTAAATTGATCAAAAGTATCAGTAAAGATTTGTATAATATTATAAAAGATTTCAATTAGGTTAAATTACATTTTAAAATACTCAATCACACTAGTTACTTTTTTATGGATTACATGATTACATATTATTTACACAATAACTAATTTATTCATTGATTCTCCCTAATTGTTCTTTCATCCTTTAAAGGAGTCATATGATGCGATTTCAAGTTTTCCTTTCTCTGTGGAGTGTTACAAGCTCTTGGTGCATAAAGAAGATCTGTAAAGTTGCAAAGACTAAAGTCTCAAATCCAAAGAAATATTCTTTATAAAAGTTAAGAGTCAGCCACACCTACCTAAAACGGCTCGTTCTAACACGCCATGTCTTGAAGGCGCTGTGTGTTTCGTTGTGAAAGCGAAACTACTTTGTTTGGCCTTCCAAAAGAGGACGATATCCACTTCGTCATGCCTGGAGCTGATCCGTGCTGGTCGCTGAGGAAATACATCAACTTTGCGCTGTGGATCGCCAGATCGGCTTTCACCGTGGACGAAGTGGAGTCCAGCCCGGGGTCGTCACATGTGGTTGCCGCAAGCCCGCCCGCCTCCGCTCACTCAAGTCCGCCGTGTGTGATGCTGTGTTTTTCGTTGTGAAAGCGCACTCGGCGCCTGGTCGGGAAATGTCACGCCCCTTACCATAGCCGCCTGCGAGCTTCAGTGTAAATATTGCGTCAAAATCAAATCAATTGTGACCACTCTAAGTTCGTCTGGCTTGGGAAAGCTAGCGTGTCTCCGACATAGTGATAACACTCATTGCCTTCTCTAGTGCAGCTCAACCAGGTCTCGTCCCATTCGTCGATATTTGTGATATCACAAATCCCAGAAAATATGCGTTGTAGTCCAAACGAGTCGTTCGTTGTAGTTTTTGAAGAGGGATTTCTGTTAAATCAAATATCTCCTTTTGAAGTGGACGTTGAGCTTTGTAACTTTGCAGATCTTTTTTATGCTCAAACAGCAACATTACAGACTAACTAAAGTTGAAAATGTGAAAAAGCATAATAGGACCCCTTTAACATAACACCAATTATTACATAAGATGGTTCAAACGGTCAATTAGATTTTTTGTTAAAGAATTTAATGCTTTTATTCAGTAAGAGTGCATTAAATTGATCAAAAGTATCAGTAAAGATTTGTATAATATTATAAAAGATTTCAATTAGGTTAAATTACATTTTAAAATACTCAATCACACTAGTTACTTTTTTATGGATTACATGATTACATATTATTTACACAATAACTAATTTATTCATAATTTATTGATTCTCCCTAATTGCTCTTTCATCCTTTAAAGGAGTCATATGATGCGATTTCAAGTTTTCCTTTCTCTTTGGAGTGTTACAAGCTTTTGGTGCATAAAGAAGATCTGTAAAGTTGCAAAGACTAAAGTCTCAAATCCAAAGAAATATTCTTTATAAAAGTTAAGAGTCAGCCACACCTACCTAAAACGGCTCGTTCTAACACGCCATGTCTTGAAGGCGCTGTGTGTTTCGTTGTGAAAGCGAAACTACTTTGTTTGGCCTTCCAAAAGAGGACGATATCCACTTCGTCATGCCTGGAGCTGATCCGTGCTGGTCGCTGAGGAAATACATCAACTTTGCGCTGTGGATCGCCAGATCGGCTTTCACCGTGGACGAAGTGGAGTCCAGCCCGGGGTCGTCACATGTGGTTGCCGCAAGCCCGCCCGCCTCCGCTCACTCAAGTCCGCCGTGTGTGACGCTGTGTTTTTTGTTGTGAAAGCGAAACTACTTTGTTTGGCCTTCCAAAAGAGAACACGACTAGAAAGTATGTTTTTTTATATTTAAAGAATTTGCCACTGACGATTCAAACGTGAGTTTTGAGCAGTGTAGAGTAGCACTTGTTGTTTGTAATTTCTCCGATCACAAATGCAGACATGGTTTTATGTTTACGAGGCAAAAAAAAAGACAGTATAAGTCATTATAATCAGTAATTATGTCCCCACTGGATGCAACAAATGCCTTGTTTATAATGGGTTTTAATGTTTTTGTCTTGTTGCTCCGGCCGGGACACGGCATCACAGTATGGTAAGGGGCGTAACATTTCCGTCACACACTTGAGATATCCGGCCAATCACAGCGCACTGGATAGCTGGCCAATCAGAGCACACTTCGCTTTTTCAGACTGATGAGCTTTGTAAAAATCGACGTGTTTCAGAAAGGCAGGGCATAGAGGAGAAACAATAATGTACAGTATTTGGAAAATAATGTGTTTTTTGAACCTTAAACCGCATAAACACATTTCATTACACCAAATACACAAAATAATGTTCTTTTTAGCAACATAATATGACCCCTTTAAATATTCCTTTCTAAAATAGCCACCGCTTATTTACACTCATAAAGTCCTCCAGTTTTGTGGACATTTACACAGAGATCAGTCACTAGTCAGGTGGATATAATTATACAGAAATTTGAGAGTCCACACAGCATTTGATCACTGGATTTACAAAAATCATTTCAGGTTTAAGAAGTGTTTCAACATTGGATCTACTGATGAACACATTATTATTTTTTTTAAATTATATAATTTATTTGACCGTGTATTAATTTGGAAGGCGTTTGTCTTTCAAACACATTAACATGCACAAATTCACCAACTTTGTCATCTGATCTTCTTTTACTGAATATATTTTTATTTGAAGTACCCCTGAGATTTTAAAATAAATCTTTTAATAATGAAGTATTACATTTGCATGTTAATGGTTGTCTGAAGTTGGTTATGGTCATATGACATGCCGGTAGGCTAAACAAATACAATATTTCTCTCTTTTTTCAGTAGCCTTAGTGTTTTATTTTGATTCATTTGAAAATGATTTGTTTTAATTTAAAATTTTTATGATTTAATTAATTATTAGCTTTTCATTAAACTCATAAACCCCCTGTAGCACACACCCAGTTTGGGAAACCTTGAGTAATATAATGTTTAATGCACTTCTTAAATTTTAAGAAGTGTTTTTGAGCACTAAATCAGCATATTAGAATGATTTCTGAAGGATCATGTGACACTGAAGACTGGAGTAATGAATGCTGAATATTCAGCTTCGCCATCACAGGAATAAATTAGATTTGAAAATATATTAAAATAGAAAAGAGTTGTTTTAATTTGCAAGTACAGCTCCAGAAAGACTGAAATTGATAAATACTGGTTAAGATTACATTTCAGGAACACTTAAAGCAGTAATAGTTTTAAAAACCCATTTTCAGTTTTGTGCATTTTAGTGGGAAAAAAAAACGGAAAACGGACTGATAATGATTTAACCCAGGGGTTCTCAACTCTGGCCCTCGAGGTCCACTTTCCTGCAGAGTTTAGCTCCAACTAGGGCTTGGTCGATTTTTCCGATTTAATGTTTTGCGACAATTTTATTTTTTATAAATTGAGTAATCTTCATTTTTAGAAGATTATCAAACGTTAGAATTAGACACTTTGACAATATACCAATGATAACAGTAAAGAGAAAATAATTATCCAACCCCATGTCGGCGCACGTGATTAACCGCTCATGTGTGACGCGCTCTGTGAAGGACCATAAGGTGCCATTCACACAGAATGCGCTTTTGTGTTGACAAAGATGCGATGCGGGCAGTGGAATAGGAAAAAAAAAA